CTTAACTTTTTCCTTCTTAATTTGCAATCTGGAGACAAATGAAAAAGTGAGGCATTATTGTTAACAAGACTTCCAACTGCATTGCATCGTATCACTTTGCTCAAACACTGTTTGCAGAATGAAATAAACATGAGTACAAATAAAAAAACATTCAGTTTTTGTCCAGACGTTTGTGCATTCTCACTGCTTTATCAGGGTAACTGTAATTACAAATGAGTGGGAAACTGGAGATGAAAAATGACTTTGCCCTTGATGACACTGAGATATAGTGAGGATAGGTATTTCAAATATACCCTAAAATTTCATGTAAAGTTTACTTGTTAAATATATTTTTACAAAAACATTTACAGTTGGGTTGATTTTTTCTCTTTTGTGTCTAACTTTGTTTCTGTAAGTGGGAAGGGGATAATAATGGTCTTGATCAGAATCAAACCACGACTATAGGCATGATGAGCAATGCTTCACCCACAAGGCTAACCCCTTTACTTGTGTATGGTAGGGTTTGATTGGGCAACTATTGCACCCTGGACCAAAGGTGGCTCATTAGTGTGTCTTGAGGTTTGGTTGTCTATAATTGGTTTGGTTGCTCTGGCTGAGTTCATTAGAACTTAATGGGTGTTTGGCATGTTGCATTGTATTTTGTCAGCTGTTGTCAATAAACTTAGGATAAATTTGACTGTGTCTCTGTAACTCCATTCTCTTCCCACAGAGGTTACTTGTCATATCTTCCTACGAACCTCTGTTCTAATACGGCCATATTTCCCGGTTCTCGTACAATCCCCTAGCGGCAAAAGATCGCAACACCAATTATCTCCCTTCTTTCTATCCAATCAAAACACGTGTTACATCGACTTAGATTCAACTTGACTAACACAAGCAAATGTGGGGCCACAAATATCCCCCATCTGCCGGGGACTTGTGTTGATGTTACACACAAGACGTTTAATGGCTAGCTTGTCCGTTGTCAACGATGGCGGTGGAGACGCCACTGATCCGCCATAACATGACTGAGTTCTGTCTAGAAAAGCGTTTGCGCATCGCGGGGAGAAGTTTAGTTTTCTCGAAGCATCACGGAAATTACGAGGCCTTTAGAATGATCACTTTTGAAACAACGTCGCTGATTGCACAACTAAATCTGATTGCCTCCAATCACGAGTCTTGAACGCTCACACCATGAAAGGGGCGTATTAGAACAGAGATTACGTAGGAAGATATGACAGGAGTAACCTCTGTGGGAAGAGAATGCTGTAACTCTGCCTTGACAGATTCACGTAATGTGAAGGAATTTGGTGTTCTTTAACTTCTTGTGAGTAGTACAATTTTAGAGGACATCAATTCAGTTAAACAGGTATAGCTACTGCAGTGTTGTTATATGGTATATCTCCCACAGAGTACTGTCTGATGGAGCCTGTTGTATGGTATATCTCCCACAGAGTACTGTCTGATGGAGCCTGTTGCATGGTATATCTCCCACAGAGTACTGTCTGATGGAGCCTGTTGCATGGTATATCTCCCACAGAGTACTGTCTGATGGAGCCTGTTGTATGGTATATCTCCCACAGAGTACTGTCTGATGGAGCCTGTTGTATGGAGCTTACATTGAACCAGCGGGACCTATTGCTCTTGGAGTTAAGTTGTATTTAAGGAAAATAATCAGTGGAGAGTTATGGGTGGGGTGGGATGCACTGTGGTGGGGTGGGATGGGATGTACTGTGGTGGGGTGCACTGTGGTGGGATGTACTATGGCAGAGGTGGAGAGCTTAAGTGTTTGATATGCTCTGGTAGGGAGTGGAGCAAAAGGGTGTGGGTAGGGTGGGATGTACTGTGGTACAGGTAGGGGTGGGAACACAAGGGTGGGTGGGTAGGATGGGATGTACTGTGGTAGGGGTGGGGAACACAAGGGGTGGGTAGGGTGGGATGTACTATGGTAGGTGTGGGGAGCACAAGGGTGTGGGTAGGGGTGGGATGTACTGTGGTAGGGGTGGGAACACAAGGGGTGTGGGTAGGGTAGGGTATGGATGTACTATGGTAGGGGTGGGAACACAAGGGTGTGGGTCAGGGTGGGATGTACTGTGGTAGGGGTGGGAGCACAAGGGGTGTGGGTAGGGTGGGATGTACTGTGAGCAGGGGTGGGAACACAAGGGTGTGGGTGGGGTGGGATGTACTATGGTAGGGGTGGAGAACACAAGGGTGTAGGTAGTGTGAATGCTATGTGGTAGGGGTGGGGAGCAAAAGGGTGTGGGTAGGGTGGGATGTGTACTGTGGTAGGGGTGGGGAACACAAGGGTGTGGGTAGGGTGGGATGTACTGTGGTAGGGGTGGGGGGACACAAGGGTGTGTGGTAGGGTGGGATGTACTGTGGTAGGGGTGGGAGCACAAGGGTGTGGGTAGGGTGGGATGTGCTGTGGTAGGGGTGGGGAACACAAGGGTGTGAGTAGGGTGTGGAGTAGGATGTACTGTGGTAGGTGTGGGGTGGGGGTGGGAGCACAAGGGTGTGGGTAGGGTGGGATGTACTGTGGTAGGGGTGGGGAACACAAGGGTGTGGGTAGAGGGTGGGAGCACAGGATGTGGGATGTACTAGGGTGTGGATGTACTGTGGTAGGGGTGGGGAACACAAAGGGTGTGTGGTAGGGTGGGATGTACTGTGGGAACACAAGGGTGTGGGTAGGGTGGGGTGGTAGGGGTGGGGAACACAAAGGGTGTGGGTAGGGTGGGATGTGGGAACACTGTGGGGTAGGGGTGGGGAGCACAAGGGTGTGGGTAGGGTGGGATGTACTATGGGATGGTGGGAGCACAAGGGTGTGGTAGGGTGGGATGCACAAGGGTGTGGGGTGTGGGTGGAGTGGGATGTACTGTGGTAGGGGTGGGAACACAAAGGGTGTGGGTAGGGGGGATGTACTGTGGTAGGGGTTGGGAACACAAGGGTGTGAGTAGGGTAGGATGTACTGTGGTAGGGGTGGGGAGCACAAGGGTGTGGGTAGGGTGGGATGTACTGTGGTAGGGGTGGGGAACACAAGGGTGTGGGTAGGGTAGGATGTACTGTGGCAGTGGTGGGAGCACAAGGGTGTGGGTGGGGTGAGTTTTTCCATGTTTTGGAAGAACCAGGATTAGGGCTTTGTTGCATACCAAGGGGTATGGGAAGGGTGTGCAAGGAAGGCCACAGGTCGGAGTTCGGGTGGAAAGCATCGGTATATGGGTAAGTCAGGAAGCACCAGGGTCACTGTGCCCCTTCTCTCGGTCCCTCCTCCCTCCCTGGCATGACAGATGGTATCTACCCCAGCACAAAAACTCTGTCAGCACGTGGAATACATTATAAGGGCCCATGTTTATGTGTTGAAATAACCAGAAATCTTCAAATTTTCAAAAAGATACAAAAAGCATCAAAGATAAAATTCAACACCGGAAGTGAAATTTAAAAGCAGCGTTAAGTTACTGCTGTGCGTGAATGTCTCGTTGATTGCACGCATATCTACAACCCGGGGTCTATTATATCATTTTCTCTTGTCAGCACTCACGGAATTCCCCATTTCCCTCTATTTAGCTTTGTGCTCGCTTTTATCACCCTTTAATGAAAAGCACAAAAAAATCGTGGAGGGGGATGATAAATCTGCAACTGTCACTGACAGGCAATTTCTGTTTTGTTGTTGTATTTCAGCTGACGGTGGACACCGTGATTCATTGCTGTCAGTGTCAGATACGCTTGACATGGACGACCCTTGTCAATATCTGTCAAGTGTTGACTGTATATTGCCTGGTAGTCTCACCACCCTAACTTCTTGCCCTAATGGCTTAATCACTGTGTACCACTTTGTCATTATCACATGGCCTAGGACATGGCTGTGTTGATAGCATGTCAATATCGATCTGTTGTGTGCCTTTCACACAATGGGATTCTTTACCGGTGATCAGTGGTTGTGATTGGCCATGCTTTTTGTGTAAACCTTTCAAAGACATTTTATGTATGCTTCCATTCCATTTGACACTTGCCCTGACTCTTCACATCCAAGATAATCAATACTGTAAAGAATTAAGATACTTCTTGATTTAGTATTCCCTTAGTAAACAGTCACAGATGCTGAAAAGAAAATAGTTCTTTAAATTTCCCTCGAAATTAATTTGATATCTGTTTTTTTCATTGTATAAGGAAACCTGTGAAGGACCGGGTTAGAATGAGCCTTCAGTAACCCATGCTTGTAAGAGGCGACTAACGGGATCGGGTGACACATGTCATCAGTTCCCAATTGTGCAGATCGATGCTCATGCTGTTGATCACTGGATTGTCTGGTCCAGACTCGATTATTTACAGACCGCCGCTATATAGCTGGAATATTGCTGAGTATGGCGTAAAACTAAACTCACTCACTGCATGAGGGAAGTGGAGAACAGGAATGTTCAAAGCATTTGCTAAACTCTCAAGCTTGTTTTTGACTCCAACCATTGGTATTTATTGGAAAATCTATTCGTAATATATTTTAATGTCCTTGCTAGAATATTGGTGAATTTGGCATAGAACTCCTCACTCACTTATGTTTCTGTGAGGCAAGAGTTCCTCAGTCATGTAACTCTGCAATTAGCTGTGCACAGTAGCATCATTTGGGCATGCAGAAACCTTTGATTGTGGGTTGTAATCCCAAATTGACCTGACTGTGGTTCTAGGTCTGCCAGCATCATAGCCGTGTTTGTTGGTTTCACCAAAGTGGTAAAGGTCTGGAACCTGCATCGCTCTGTGCTTCGGTCACACCATTACACACGCGATTTGTGTTTGAAGTGGCAATAAACCCAACTCACTCACTTACTCTATTTCCAGATGAATGTGATGTAATGTGCAAGTAGGCTGTAGTTAGTATCACCAACCCAGCAACATTTTACATCAACAAGCTGCTTGTGTGTGTTGTTAGAGATACATGCTACACTTGGAAGCACGTGCTTAACCATCTGCTTGATAATTACCACTCACACTAATGAACATATTAGCTAATTGATGTTTGTGATTTTTTCCAGGCATGTGAAGATTTATGACGTGGCATCATATCAAGTCGTACACACACTCGACTATCCAGGAGCTATCCTCAGTCTGGCAGTTGCTGTATGTATCACCTACTTATACATTATCACCTCAATAGGGCAAGGTGTGAAAAACAGGTCAAATTAATGTCAACACTTTTTTTGTTAGCAGCAGTTTAAGCTGTAGTGTATTACATGTAGCTTGTGGGAATTCCACTATGTTTGTTTCAGTCAATCTGTGGGCTCACCTTGACACTGACGGAGTATGTATTATCGTGTGAATAGGTCCTGTCACAAGTGCACATTGAATCGTAATCTCACAACTTTCTCTTCATCAGTTGTATGGCTACGGTCATGTACATCTGTGCTGGATTTGTGTTGAGGAAATAGATTGATTAAAATATTTTTCTTTTTTTTAAAAATAGTTTATCATCAGTTTATTTGAGTGTTTATGAGGCAGTAGGGCAGTCCTCACTCACTCACTCACTCGCCAACTCACCTATTCACCCACCCATTTACTCACTCACTCACTCACTCATTCGCGCATTAAAGTATTTCTAATGGTACATTTATTTTAATTTCCTGTATTGCTTAGGATTGCAGTAACCTTGACTTGTAGAAGCAGGCTATATTGACCAGATTGTCAGGCCTAGTGTTGTGTTTGATTGAGTCCCTTGAGTTAATGTTAAGGTGTGGCACTTATGACTATCTTAGCAATAAGAGAGCTTTGTAAATCTAGGCCCTGGCTGCACCTCATAACATCAACCACTAGTTCGTGTGATACAGATTACATTATTTATTGGATGCTATAGCTGTAATATTCCGACTTCTCACTCTCTCACACACTCACTCACTCGCTTGATCTGTCTCTGGAACAATGTATTTCCGTTGTGGGAGTATAGGAAATATTTTTACAATGGATTAGTAATGTATAACTGACATGTCTTTTTCTAAATTCTGCATCAATCAAATGTTTAACCTTTGACAGATGATGATTAATGACCAAATTCTGACTGATGGTTTATGAGGCAGTTGTGCCATGAAGTTGGAGCTGCTGTTTTGCTGAATGTTTTCGGTTCCTCTGCGCCCTGGATGCTGACCTGGGAGTAATTAATCTGTCATCAGATCCATTTGATATATTGCTTATTAATAAATTTACAACTCAGGATGAAAGAAACATGTTTCAAGAAATCTGATAACATGCAATGCCATCCAAGTACATTATGAGAAATATATCCTATGAAGGCTCACCAGTATGTGTAATATCAAAAACATTCAGCAGTGAAATACACAATAAAATACTTATGTTTTTCATGCATTACAAGAACTTGCCTGCATGAAACATTTAAAAATCAAGCAAATTATCAGAATACTTTTGTGATGCCTTTGGTTGTGTCTAACAGATTGGTAGGAGAGCCTGTTTCAAGTGGTAACACATTATCTGATGGGAGTGAGATTTCTACATACAGCCATGCTTTGCTCATATCCATCGAGCTTCTAGACAGTCGTGGCAGTGATGACAGTCAGTTCCTGGAAGACACTGACAATCCTCACTTTGGTAATTCATGCCTCCAAGGAGACAAAAGGCTGATATTTGAACAAATATTTTCTGGCGTCTTTTGACACTCTGTTGTAGGCATTATTGGGATCACTGTTGTCCCATTTCAGGATATTGTTACCAGTTATATACATGGTAGTTTAAACAGCTGACTCAGAGTGACATTTCCTCAAGAATGTAATATGCTATGTTGATGCACAAATGTAGATGTAGAACACACAATTGTAAAATTTGCAAAAGTGGTCTAATAATTCAACACTTTGGGGGATGAACTTTCTTGACAGCTATTAAGAAATATTTAAAGTAAGGCTATACTTTCCTTAATGATGTTGATAGATTACCACCTGGTCATCCCATCTACAAGGTAGATACTTGCCCTCCCCAGTAACATCATGTCCCTCCCAGCTTGAAATGTTCACCTGTATTGGTCAAGTGCTAGATATTTATGTTTTTGTGGTAACTGAGCTCATCAATTTATTCAATTATTTGTCTTTCAGTTGTTGTGTATTTTTCAGTTGTCAGTTGGTCATATTAGAAAAAATGTAGACTGCCTTTTAAATGTCTACATTTTCAAATCTAACTGGAATGATCAACCAGTCCCCATTATATTCCACAGCAAAATCACCTCAAATACATATTTGTTTCATATATTATGTTTGGCATTAATCAAATCATTTGATTAATACAAAGCATAATATATGTTCCCTATTGTGAAATATTTCAAATTATGACTGTGATTTGAGCATTTGCACCCCAGGCTGTGTATGTTAACTTGTCAGTTTTCTTCAGAATGTCATGAACTATAGATTACCTGCAGTTAGTATCGAGTCTCAGCATAGTTTCCATTTTGGTTTTTTTAAAAGTATGTTTACCTTGTTTTGATGTTTGTGTTCTGTCCATGTTCTTACCAAATGATCATTTGGCTCTGTTGTCTTCTTGTCCTGAAGACGTTTTGGTCCAGTATTTATACAGAACAATTTGAATATCAGTGTTGCAGTCGTTAATATGTTTAACTGTTGATTGGGGTGGTGGGGTATCCTAGTGGTTAAAATGTTCGCTCGTCACGCTGAAGGCCAGTATTCGATTCCCCACATGAGTACAATGTGCTGAGCCCATTTCTGGTGTCCCCCCGTCATGATATTTCTGGGATATCCTGGTATAGCACAAAACTATACTCACTCACTAAACATTTGATTTTCGCAGATTGTCTGTACAGGGTCCGTGTACATCAGGTGTCTGTACAGGGTCTAATTTTTCTAAATCAGGTGTTTGTACAAGGTCCGTATGTGGTGTCAGGAACCCGTCATGTCAGGTGTTTGTACAGGGTTGTATATTTCTGGGATATCAGCTATATGTCAAGGTACAGTAAGTTAAGGATCATTACAGGCTATAGTTTGTCCTCACTTAACTATTGATGTATGTGTCTGTAGGGGTCCGTCATGTCAGGTATCTGTACAGGGTCTGTCATGTCAGGTGTTTGTACAGGTTCCATCATGTCAGGTGTCTCACTCACTAAGGTTTTGTCAGGTGTTTGTACAGGGTCATGTCAGATTACACATACCAAGTACATGTCATGTTTGTCAGGTATCAGTACAGGGTCCGGTGTCTGTACAGGTGTTTGTACAGTCAGGTCAGTGTTGTACAGGTACAGGTTCCAGTCATGTCAGGTGTTTGTACACAGGATCTGACATGTCAGGGTCCGTCATGTCAGGGTCTGTTTGTCAGGTGTCTGTACAGGGTCTGACATGTCAGGTCTGTAGGGTCCGTCATGTCAGGTGTTTGTACAGGGTCCGCATGTCAGGTGTCATGTCAGGTGTTGTGGTACAGGATCGTCAAGTCAGGTATCTCTGTTCAGGGTCCAGGGTCAGCGCCATGTCAGGTGTTTGTACAGGGTGCGTCATTTGTCAGGTATCTGTACAGGCTGTCAAAATACATCGTACAGGGTAGTTTGTCAGGTATCACAGGGTCCGTCATGTCAGGTGTTTGTACAGGGTCCGTCATGTCAGGTGTCTGTACAGGGTGCGTCATGTCAGGTGTTTGTACAGGATCAGTCAGGGTCCGTCGTGTCAGGTATCTGTACAGGCTGCGTCATGTCAGGTATCTGTACAGGGTGCGTCATGTCAGGTGTTTGTACAGGATCAGTCAGGGTGCGTCATGTCATGTGCTTGTACAGGATCAGTCAGGACCCGTAATGTCAGGTGTTTGTACAGGATCGATCAGGGTCCGTCATGTCAGGTGTCTGTCAAGGGGCAATCATTATGTCACATATTAGAACTGTCTTAAGTGCAGGTCCACAGTTTTCACTGGTGCAATCAGGTATGTGGCATGTGCCTATTTTCACTTTGTTCTATGATTTTATGGACATATTGGAATGAGAAGATGACATCATTGACTTTGGCTTGTTACAATAGACTGACTGACTTCATTCGTTTGCTTTAAAGAAGGAACATATAAGGTGTTGCGTTTTCATTCACCATTTAGTCATTTGCAACCAGGTTTTAAAGATACATATCTTATCGGTTAATTTTAGTTGTGATACATTAACCTTACCTCCAAGATGTGTAACTGTTCTCTAACTATCAAGATATATATCTTCATAGGATTTCAGAGCCTTCCAGTTGACTTACATACATATCTTATCACAACCCCTCTACTCTCCTATAGTTGGGGAGGATATGGTAATTATCATCACAAAAAACAGGAACAAGGAAATCAGATTCCTGGAGTACCGGTAAAGGCATAATATCCTATGTATCAGTCTTGCTTTCAGAAGTTATTGTTCAAACACAAAATGTTTAAAACACAAAGCCTATCCCCAGTGAATCAACAAGAAAAATCTTTTTGAAGGAACTGTTTGTGTATCTGAAAATGTTCATCTTTAAGATGTGAAGTAAATGAATGTTCCATAAACTGTTGCCATATTTATGTTTCTTTTGTTTGTTTGTATTGTGTTCATTGTTCCACACGAAATGGAACTATTTGCACGCGCCATGTGAAGCCATTGACGCTTTTTCCGTCCCCTTTATATATTAAACACCAACAAGATGGGGATCCTCGCGCCTTTGTGGTCGCAAATTTGATAGCAACATCCCAACACCAACTAAAATTACATTTGAAGATGTGTTTTTTCCATCGCCTCCATGAAATAACAGCCTAGTTTGTTTGTTTTTTAACCTCTCGGAAATTATATTTACAAAATCTCAGGGTTGACAAAGGCTTCCTGTGATCAATTTTCCATTTTGTTTGCATTTTCTCAAATAAACAAAAGAAATCTTGTCTTCTTTATGGTGTTAATGATGCGATCGCTGGGTCTAGATAATGGTTGATTTACTTTCTTTATGGAAGCCAGGATGGCTTTGTGACAATCCCTTTAACACTAATTGAGCCGCTCGCTGATACTTTAGGAATCATATATCTCTCGCTCATGCCTTCAATCCCTGTGGAAAAATCATTTGACTTCAAGGAAAAAAATCGCCAAATTTGCTCGCTTGGGTATATGGAAGGTGTTGGAGGCTATAAGTCAT